TCCAACTACACATTCACCAGAAGTTTCTACTCGAATTTTGTCATCGCTGGACAACTCGTCAACTCTGCCCGCGACTACGGTGAGCCACATGATTTCCATCAAAGATGAGCCCCACCTACCTACACGCCACTACATCAACTGAGGTTGGACGGGGGGGGTTTGCCCGGGAAAACAATGCGACACGGCCGGGGAGGGTTTGCCCGAAGAACAATGTCACCGATCAAGTCATCAACACTGCGTGGTTCCCAAGACGTGTTGTTTGGCCACCAAGACCTCTTTGCACACAGCTGTGAAAATTAAAACCACCTTAAGCAGAGCAATGTTATCCCGGTCAGGGCGGCCAGGATTGGCAGTTCACTTCACTTGTCGCGCGGCCCTCTGAAAACCAACCAGCACGAAAATCTCAACAACAAACTGTCTGGACCAAGGCTTTAACAAACGCAAGAACCGCTTTTTTCCCTCACACAAGCACATCTCGCTCCAAGTTGGATACAGTTCTGAGCGGGTGCACTTGAACGGGTGTGCTTACCAGTTGGTGGGCTTGGATACAGTTCTGAGCGGGTGCACTTGAACGGGTGTGCTTACCAGTTTGGTGGGCTTTGATACAGTTCTGAGCGGGTGCGCTTGACGGGTGAGCTTACTATTTTGTGGCTAGGAATACAGTTTTCTGAGCGGGTGCAACATGAACGGGTGTGCTTACCGTTGGTGGCTGGATACATGGTTCTACGGGCCCTTGAACGGGTGTGCTTTCCAGTTGTGGGCTTGTGATAACAGTTCGGGTGTCGCTTACCAGTTGGTGGCTTTTGGATAACAGTTTCTGAGCGGGTGCCTTCACGGGTGTCTACCAGTTGTTGAGGCTTTGGATACAGCACGAGCGTTGCACTTCAAACGGGGTGTGCTTACCATTTGGTGGCTTGTATACAGTTTCTTGGATACAGTTTCTGAGGGGGGGGGGGGGGGGGGGGGTGGTGTTGTGCACTTGAACGGGTGTGCTTGCCAGTTGGTGGGCTTGGATACAGTTCTGAGCGGGTGCACTTCAACGGGTGTGCTTACCAGTTGGTAGCGGGTGCACTTGAAGGCTTTTGCAAAAAGAACGGCCAGGGGGGGTTTGCCCGTGATTTTCAAGTCGCGCGCGCAATGTTTGTAAAAATGATGCCCGACGTGCGACTAATAACATCCTGCTGACATGAAGATGCGAAACAAAAGCGCAGTCATTATCTGCGAAGAAATGCAAATGCCCAGTGATATGTGTAATATTTGCTGCGTTTTACAGCACGTCGCGCACCCATCTGCCGCGGTATGTGCCAAGGCATCGTGCGTCGCAAGGCCGTCAATGCACTGATGACAAGACAACGAACGCAGGTATAATTTCGACCCTGCCGACAGCCAAATGTCCTGGTAAAAACGGGACGGAGTGGAAGTCACATGTCCGACGTGCTGCGTTTTACAGTATGTTGCGCTGCTGAAACCCCGGGCAACCCCCCGCCGTTGAGCCAACAAGCAGCTACATCAACGACTACACCGAATCACCTACAACTTGGACCAGATCACCACTACATTCAACCTGTCCAACAACTTCATTTGGAACTATCACATGCCCCTGTACCTACCAGAACTACTCAACTACTTCGACCAACCACAACAACTTCAAGACCACCACTACAAGTCCATCAACACGATGCTACACAAAAGTGTCACCTACTCAACATCACCCTCCTCACGGCTACAAATCTTTCCATGCAACACAAACTACTACTCCACAACTACCTCACTACCACCGGCCAAGCACTTGCACCACCGGAATGCGACTACAACCGCCTTCGTGGCCAAGCACTTGCACCACCGGAATGCGACTACAACCGCCTTCGTGGCGGTCCAGACTTCCTCAACACATTCATTACCAACCACTATGCAGGCTTGGACTACCGCATCAGCCAAGTCCAGAACTACCGAGTCCAACACTGGACTAAGCACACCTGATCTCCAGGTGGAGCTGCAACTACGTGCTGTACTACGTCATCGTACTACGAGATGACTGAGAACCAACTAGGGTTCTTGTACAGCAATTTCACTTTTCTGATCATTTGAAGGTTAGTTGAACTACAGACAGCAGCGCTGTAGATACCTACCTTCGGTCATCTTTTTTAAGAGACTACATGCCTGTTCGCTACAGTAGCATCGGCAAACAACATGTGCATTCGTTTTTGCCACTACTGTCAATACCACCTTTTGGGTCTATGGTTAAAGGACACTACAAGGTCTTTTAACCAAGGGGCCGTGTCAAATATCATGTTGCACTACTTGTCACTTGTGCATGCATGATGTACACTACCCGACTGCAGGCCTTGAGTCTACTAGGAAAAGAGTGCATGCTGGCTGACTACATTTGTGTTTGTGATAACTGAACAACACTTGCACTAGAAGTAAAGTATCAACGTATTCTAACGAGAGAGAGAGAGAGACAGGACAGACAGGACAGACAGACAGACAGACACAGACAGACCAGAACAGAACAGAGACAGAGACACAGACAGATACGCATACCACAGACGCAGACGCAGACGCAGACACGCAGACACGCAGACGCAGGTAGGCCTGCAGGCCCGCAGGCCGGCCCTCCTGCACGCGAACATTCCTACACACCCAAAGAGACACAACAATGTGTCTCTGGGTGGGGCGCTCCCTGGGTCTCACTTTCGAAGCAAAAGGGATGTGCCCCCCAGGTGGATAACAGGTACGAACCCATCATAGAGTCCACGATCGGCCTGGTGGGTCTCCTCTTTGATACCGGGGGCTGGATCGGGGCCCTGCTGTGCCTTGGTTGGAGTTTTTGTGTTTTTTTTTTTTTTTTTGGGGGGGTGCTTGGAGGCGGTGTTCAAGCTCCTATACAGGGTATTGTTGGGAACCAAGCCTGGGATGTCTGGTTGCCTTTGTGGTCCTGCTGTTAGAATTGTGCCCAAAGGCAGCAGCGCGTGAAGCAAGCATTTGCAGGATTGCTTGAGACTGGCTTGCGCAAAGCGGCTCCGTGTAAAGACTTTTGTGTTTTGCTTTTGGTGCCGTAGTCACATCGAGCATATTTGTAAGCATACATAGTAGTTCATCAGCTTGGGTGCTTTTTGCCCCCGTTTGGGTGAGACAGGTGTGGCATGGCCAAAACCCTTGTACTTGAGGTTCGTAGGATGGTCACAATGGGAAGGCTTCTTAAGAAAAGACGGCGTGGAGCCGATTCGTTTCGACGCAGGATCGAATACCACCTTATCCTCGAGAAAACAGTTGGGGTTGCAGAGTTAGGCTGCTTCTAGGTGTGCAGGTGAAAGCTTCCCAGTCTTTCCCTGGGTCGCTTGGGAAAAGGTTCTCAAAAAAAGTACGTTGTTGGATCCGCCATTTTCCCTTCCCACTCCAGTTAGGAGGGCCTCAGTTGGAGGCTGTTGTATGAACTTTTTCCAAGAAGACAGGCTGATCCATTAAGCTTGAGGATGTACTTCACCTGGTTTGCCCCCTAGGCTGATCCTCTATGCCATGGTGGTGCCTGCCCTGAAGATCGGCTTCCTGATCTTGGCGGAGCTCTGGCGCGAGAGCCCGGACCCGCGGCAGGTGCTCTTCGCCAAGCGCTCCATCCAGGTGACTTGGAGACGGAGCTCCGAGAGACGGCTGGCGTTAGAGAGCCAAGAAAGGGCCAAAACGGATCCCGTTTTGTTTCCTCAATGTGGAAACTGGGGAGCTTCAAAAACAGTTTTCCCCATCGAAGGCTGGGCTTATGCTCACCTGAGTTGCTGACACTGGTGCGCCGTGCCACAAGTAACCCGCCGGCTTGCAGGTGGTACAGATGATCAGCAAGTGGGCCTGCCCCGACATGTTCGCCTACATCCTCCTATTGCGCCAAGGCGAAAAATCGGTGGCCAGCTGTTTGCAACACAGGACTCCCCTTAAAGGTGATGCCCTAGCCCTAGGTGCCCAAAGAACAACTTTCCCAGAGTTGATCGTACACATGAGGGTCGTATCCAGCGTGTTCTAGATGTTGCCATGTTCTGACTGCTCATCATGAGAGCCCCGAAGTCAAGACATAAATGTGGTTCGGGCAAACCTTGCAAGGCTTCGTCCCTTGGGGCGCTTGCTTTGCATGGCTTTGCTAACCAGAAAGCGTGGGATGCTCGGCGCGGAGCTACTCGAAAAGTCAGGGTACCTGTTTTTGTGGACCCACCGATCGTTTTTTAGGGGGGCAGAAAATTAGGTCAGGTGTTTTGGGTACATAAACCACCCAAAAGTTTGCTCAAGCCCAGGTACCTCTTCCGCCATCTCAATGGTGCAGGGGGCATCATCGCTGCCCCAGCCCAGCTTGGGATCGGCACGGGCCTGAGCCAAAATTGGGGGAGGTCGCCGGCAGTTGGGGAAGATATTTTGAACGAGTATTTTAAACATGTATAGACAGACTATGCATGCCGCACTGTACATGTACAGAAAGGTATTCCACCCGCTGCAGGATTTGCAAGGAAACAGTTGGCCATGACTCAGGCAAAATTGCACGCCCAATTCTTAGGATGTTTTGCGCACTTGTGTGGGCATGCGTGTCAGGCATCTCTTTTCCAACCGGGAGATGTTGAGTTGGACAGATGGTGCAGAGAGTTTCAGCTTTGGACAAGACTTGCTGGAACAACCAGCCAAGGGGGCCCCCTTAGGGACACAAAAGGAGCTTGTTTAAATAGCGGACCATCTTTCGGGGGAAAGCTCACTCACGATGAAGGTCCTTTACCATGTAATCCTTTCTGGGGATCGTTCTAATTTTTCAGACGTTCCACCATCGGAGCTGGCAACTGGACCGAGACAAAGTGCCTCTGGCGGAAGGCTTTGCGTGCTTCAGCATCTTCTGCGTCTTCTCGACCTTCTCCACCCTCATGGTAGAGGCCCCTTCAGCTTATGAGCGCTTGATTCTGTGCATCGCCCGTCCATTTCCCATCGGAACACCACCGCCCCAATGAACGCTTGGCGGGCGGTTTGACTCACCGAACCTATCCAAAGCGTGCAACAGCCAACGAGCCTGAATTTTCCTATGTCCTGTTGGGGCAGTCTTTGTAGTTTGAACTACGCGTGCATCGCCGACAGCCAGCTTCACTTTTGGAGTCGTTGGGGCTCAAGCGACGCCAGTCGGGCAGCTCAAGCCTGCGAGTGGAACGGGCGAGTGGGCGGACGAGTGGACGAGTGACTCGAACACTCGCGCGCCCTACTCGCACACTTTCTCTCGCACAGGAATAAGGTTTTAGACCTTGTTTTCCGTCACGAATACTACTTTCAATTGCGGGTTGCGAGTCAACAGTGTGCGAGTAGGGCGAGCGAGTGTTCGAGTGACTCGTCCACTCGTCCGCTTGCTCGCCCGTTCCACTCGCACACGCGCACGCCCTACTTGCACACTCCACGCGCGCACTCGTCAAAAGTCACTCGTACAGTTTTTTTGGGCAAGTGTGCCTACAAAACCTGTTTACAACCTAGCTAATACGTAAGCAAAGCCCAAGGCATTCCCACAATTGTGCGAACTTTGGAATTGAACTCCGAAACAGGAGATAGGAACTGGAACGTGGGTCCGTTTTACCCCCAGCTCGCCAAGAACAATCGGGCTTAGCCTTCCAGTTGGATTTCGCTGAGGCCACGCAGTCGCACGCAATACTCGCACACTCGCACGCAGGGTACTCGTGCAGGAACTATCAGAATTGTATTTAAAAATTATTGGGTCCAGCTAACTTGTAGTTGGGTCTCATGGATTCCGGGATTTCGGCACTTCAGAACAACTTCGTTTAGCCCGCAGCCTGCATACCAGATTTGGGATCGGTCAGCATGTGCGTTGCCATACGCAATTTAAATTGGGGTGCCTCCAGCATGGGTTCGGCTTTCCTTTTGGTCCGGAGCCTTAAAGCAAAATGCAACCACTTTCTCGGCCTTGGGCTTCGGCACATGGCTGGTAGGATCCTGAACACCGCACCAACGCGTTTCGAGGAACTCAGCAAAATCAGCGAGCATTGGCCTGGCAAACGCCAACTGGTATTTTGGGGGGAAACATCGCTACAGGTGGCCGTAATGACCTGCCCTTTCCAGCTAGCGCTTGAGGCGTGTCCAGATGTCGCGTTGGCTCTGCATGCAAGCAGCGCAACCGTTCTGGCAGAAACGCGTGGGGCAAGGCAGAGCGGCGACTGACAAGGCTGTTGGTCGTTTAGCGTGGAATCGGAATGGTTTCTTCGCTCGAACTCAAAAAGGGCCGACCTGTCTCCTTGCTGGTTTTTTGAGGGTCATTCCATTTCTCCTTTCCTGCCTATCGCACCAGCAAGTCCCCCCCCAAGCAGAGCGCGCCGGACCTTGCAACAGGTGCCCCACGCGGCGGAGGAGGTGGAGGGCCCCGTGAAGCCCTGGCTTCTGCGCAGCGAGGCGACGGCAGCTGCCGGGGTCGGCGCCTTCGTGCTGCTCCTTGTAGGAAGTGGATGGTAAAGAGAGTGCAGGAATCCTCCCCCCCCCCCTAGCCCCATAGGATTAATCCGCCCGTCAACTGGTCCACTCGAAAGGAGTCCTTCGATCAGAAGGGTAGTTCTCCCCCATGCAGGCCCCAATTCCTACCTATTAGAATTCTGGGAATGGAAGCCGTCGATCAGAACTCCTTCGATCAGAACTCCTTCAATCAGAAGGTTCTAAGAATCCTTCCTGGGGCGTTGCCTTAGCGGCCTTTGGGCGTAGCTGATTAGGCGGCCTGAGCTGAGAGTCAGGGTGGGTAATGCCGAACGCCTTAGTGATGTGACAAGGTCTTGTAGCTGAGGTTCCTGGGGATCTTTGGTCTGGGGCTTTTCGCCCCCACCATGGCCATGTATCTGGACTCCGCGCTGCTATTGAAGCTGCCTGGCGAGATCCAATGCCTTGGCTGCTCAAAACGGTGGACACGCCAACACTGTTGTGTGTTGGAGGATTCTTTCGGGGTGGTGGTGGTGGTGGTGGTGGTGGTGGTGGTGGTGAAGGGAAATTAATGGGAACCCGTGGCAATCTTGTGAAAAATGCCAAGGCCCTTTAATATGAAATTGGGGTGGGGTGATGACCCCTTGAGTCCCCATTTGGCTGGGGCTCAGAACGGCATCCTAGTTCCTGAAAGAGGGAGGCTCGCAAGCCTTGATGGGATGTGCAAAACGGAATCCAAACGGAAGCCGAAGACCATTGTGTGGATCGCATTTGACAGATTTGCTTTCCACAGGTTGAGAAATGCGGTCGGGAGATAGTGACTAGAAAGCCGGTGTGTTCCCCGTATTTCGCTTTTCAGACTGAAGGTTTGACCTTTTGGGCTTTGAGATGAGTTTTGCTTCTGCTGGTCATTGGGGGAAAAATTGGAAAGCCTTGTCTTGGACCGCTTTGTCATACTTCGCAACTCTCTCCAGGGCAACTCAGCTGCTTGCATGCAGCTTTTTTTTTTTTTTACGTGAGGCCAAATGGGCCCTTGGATGAATCGCTGAAGCCCATGCTGGATTCTTTGCACCTCGAGGAGCTTGTCAACGCAGAGGCTGGACAAAGCCCCGTTGAAGGCTTCTAGAACCGAGACTCGATCACTCGGTTTTGGCCTAGATGTCTGAAGCTTCGAAGACTTGAAATCGAAGGTGGGCTAGAGTCACAAGGCCGCTGGGGGGGTGCTTTCCAGACTGCAGGTGACCATCGCCGATGCCACCTGGGCGCTCACTGGCTACATAGCAGGAGGGGAGATGAATGACGTCTTTGCTGCTGGGCTTGGCGTGGTTGCCGTTCGCCGGAAAGATAAAAGACGGCGCTACCCGCTAGAAACGTTCGATCCCAACCCTTCGATCAGAATCCCTTCGAGCTGAGAAGGGGTCGGCATGTCTCCCAGGCTGTGCTGATGCTGTCCATCTTCGTGATTCTGCTGCCCTTGGTGCCTTGGCTAAAGTTTGGGCAAACCGTTTCCGGATTTGTCTAGGGTCCATGATTTCCGCAGGAGAACCTTCGTACTCTCCCCTGGCCCAGGTGAACATGTTTTGCCTGTGCATGGGCTCCTGGAAGCTGTCCAGCGAGGACACGGAAGGAGCCTGGAGGCTTGACTCCGGCAAGACGTCGCTGGATCGTTGGCCGCGGATTTGGTGTATAGTTTCTCAACCCATGTGTTGCGCAGACGGTTCTTGTTTTTTCTTCTTCTTTTTGGGATGGTTTTAGGATCATCCTTCGGGAGGTATCTTTGTGTCTCACGGGTCTTGAAGCACATTGAGATGCTGGACGTGGCCATCATGGGCATCATAGTGGTGACCTGTGCCGGCACCGCGTATCACAAGCAAGGCCGGGGACCTGGCAATTTGCGGGGATATTTAGACAAACCCCACTGACTATACATATCTAAATAAATACATACATACATACATATATATATATACACATATCTGTACAAATACGCTTCTGAGCCTCTATGTTGCCTTTCGGCATTGATACGCCCCAATAATGTTTGCCGTGCGTAGGTCAAATGCGAGGCGCTTCCATGCATGTGCACACGTTGGGACGTGACGGCACACTTTGGGCCAGCGCGCCCTCATTCGTCGCTCACGGTTTGCACCCCGAAGCTATTGAAACAAGAGCGGTGCCTATCGCCCACGGTGACGCACATGCGCAACGGTTCGTAGAGGCAAGGGCTTGACACAGGGCCTAGATTAGTGCACCTTTCATTAATTCACAGTTTCTCTATGCCTTGGAGGCTAAGATGTTCTTTCACTTTAGGTAATTGTTGTTTCAACCGGCTCAAGCTTCCAGGGTCTGATCATGGCGATGCCCCAGGCACATGATTGTGGTGTTTTCTTCCGGTTTCCCATCTCCTTACTTTGTCGATTGGCATGCAAGGAAGAGCCAGCATGCTGAGTGCCGAGTCATCACAGCAGTTGGGCTGCATTGTTGCAGCCCCTGCCCAGGCGTCATGTTCAGCGTGATGACAGGGCTGTGGATTCTGCTACTAGCGGAGGTGCTGCATTATGTGACCCACTACCAGGTGGGGTTGACGGGTTTCGTGCGTGGGCTACTTTTAAGCCGCCTGAAAACACGTGAAACCGCAGGTTGTGCATTCCATGAGGCTTATGTCCTCTGCGCTTGAAGGGTCCAATGCAATTCAATGTCAGGTGCACGACAGCTATAAGTACCTGCAGCGCTCCAAATTGTGAGAAGTGCTTGCAGTAACTTTGGTGGCACAACGCCCATCCCAAAGATTGGCCTGGACACTGGGTTGTTCCCGAGAGTTTTTCCATGAACATAAGCCACCTTGGGAAGATTATATTCAACCAGGTCCGCTAGTTTCAACCGCTCTTTGGTTCATGCCGACATCTTAGGGAACAACCCTACGGATGCTGGTCCCTGCGTAAGGCTCGAGCCAAAGTGCTGCAGGGCACGCTCGAACTCAGTCTTTGGACACCTTGATGGATCGTCGTTTGGTGTCAGAAAGATCGGCTGTGCAGAAGTTTGGGACTATGGCCGGATAGTTTGGCGGGGCGTGGCCAAGTCCTTCAAAGTCTGTTGGCTTTTGTGCGGCTCGAAACCCGGAAAGGGCCAGAAAGTTCGAACTTTCATTCCCACTGGGACAAACCCAGAGGTTAGCCACAAATTCCAAGAGGTTAGCCACATAGCGATCTGGCGGTGTGCCCGAAAGCCGCTCCAAGGAGAGATCCAGGTGCCGGCCAGCAAGGTGCCGGCATTCAACGCGGCCTTAAACAAGGTGGGGGTTTTGCCCTGAAAATGGTCGGTTTCTTTGGGGTTTCCCGGATTCCCTTAAAAGCCCAAAAAGGGTACCCTCATGAGAGAGAGAGGGAGAGAGAGCGAGAGACAAACCCGGGTTCATGGCCTGAAGGGTAGGCTCAAGAAAAGAGGCCCATTTGCAGCCAAAATGCAGCCCCATGAATCTCCATCCAGGCGTCGAAGTTTCTTCCTGAAGCGCAAGTAGTTGCCTTGAGGTCCGCGACTTCGAGCGGGCGTGGCAGAGCAAAGCGGCAGATGAGCTCGAAAGCTGGGAGCTTCAAGCAGGGTGAGGTGGTGAGTGTCAGTCAATGGCCGAGAGACGACAAAGACATACCTGCCCCTCTGCAGATTATTGAACGTCAAGAACCCTCATTGGTGGCGGAGTCTCCCTCGAGGTGTCCCCCTTTTGCGGGGTTTCATGGGGAGTAATGCAAGGGTCTAAAAGATCAAGCCAAGAGCCCGTATGTGTGCATAGGAGTGCATCAACGGTATGTGGCCTGGGCCGGCCAGCGTGCTGTTTGATTGTTTCTTGGTGCTGCCACGCAAACACGCCCTCCAAAAGCGTCGCCTGGGCCGAGCGCTGAATTATCGACGCAGAATTGGACAACAGGCTTATGCGTGACATGTTTAGCGGCATGCTGCAGCTCCATTTGCTTGTTTCCCTGTTTGGCGGTTTTGAACATCACCTTTTGGCCTACAATGTGATTTTCCTAGTGATGTTTGGCTGGAAATGTTTGGCTGGAAATATGACAGGAACACTTAAACAGGGACATATGTGGAACCCAACCGGACCAGTTGAGGCGGGGGCTCTCCAGCAGCTCCTGAGGCCGGATATGGACGGGCAACATGATTCCCAGACCAAGCACCCAGAAGGGCCGTAGCTCGAATTCAGGGATCTTTGCAGGTGCCGGAGAAATACTGCAAGGCCCCACGTTTTTCCCAGGTTGGGATGCAAAATTGGTAACAAGAACCTGGCCTCCTGAAGAGGACAACAATGTTTAGGCAAGTTGTGTTCAACCGTTTCCAGGCAAGAGGTTGGCCCAATGTTGAGATGTGCCATGGTCAAACGACCTGCTTACTTGGCTCGGTGGGGATGGCCATGGACCATTCAGTAGGGAGTTTAGACCCCCGGGTTGGGGTTTCTCCTTTCTTGGAACCACAGCCATGGCCGACAAAAGGCCTGCTGGTGTATGACCCGTTGCACTGGGCTGGTGGTTTGGGGGGGGGGGAGGACGCGAACGCCAGGTGCAGGAGTTGGCTGCAGCCTCTGCATCACAGCGGGACTTGATGCCTGGCATCGGGGTTTTGCCCTCACTTTGATGGAGCAGCACCTGTTGAGGCCCATGTAAACTTGGGGTGATGCTGACATGGAGGAGAACAAAGACGAGCCTGAGGAAAGTCAGATGTTGAGGTTTACCACTCTGGAGAACGAAAGGGGGTTGTTTTTGGGGTGCCGTGAAGAAATGTGAAGAAATACACCCCAGATTAACATGGAGCTTGTCAAAGAAACCGATCCGTTGTTTTGATGCGTCTCCTTTTGGGAAGTATCCGGTTAACTATGCCTTCTGTTGGGTTCCATGGCGATTTGCACCGTGTAATGTCATCCACCTCTCTGAAAGGACCGCTTTTGTCCTGCGTGCTTGTGTTACGCACCTGGTTTGCCTTGAGCGGGTGTTGAGGAAGGACATGTGTGGAAAACCACATCGAACCGTGCCATTTCGGGGATCATTTTGAGAACCCGCCCAACTCATGTCGGATGATTCAGTTCGGGATTATTCCCTTATTATTCCGCTGAGAGCCAGCAAGAACATGTTGGCTTGACGTTTTGGGATCATCACGGCCGATGCCATCTCCTCTTGTTTCCCCTGAAATGCCAACAAAAAGGGGGGCTTCTCCAGGTTTCTGAAGAGTGGTGGACCCTCTTTGGGCTGCTATTTGAGTAAGAACCATGGTGAGTCAGCGGCGATGCTTCTGGCCTCAGGAAGGCCGCGGTGCAGAAGATGTACTTTGAGCTCCTGCGGGAAGGCGATGCCGGAGCGTTCCGCGGCGCGGGTCCTTCGAGTTTGGTTTGTTTGCGGTGGCCGTCCAGTGACAAGGCGGCCAAGAGGTGGAATTGAAAGGGACCGGATGCGTGTATGCCGCTCCTTAGCAGCCGTGGTAGGGGGCTTTGCCCACAAATTGGGGTGGTTTGCGAAGCTCGATCGTAAAATCGGTGCTTGGCCCTCTCAATAGGGTCCCAATACACTTGGGAGCCAGGTTAGTGCCAGTTAGTGGCAGCCAAAAGGGTTGTTCATGACGATCGCAGGTTGGGAGCCTAACGAGGCAGCAGCGCAAGCCATCAAGCAGGCGAGAGTTGCAAGCCGTAGCTGAGAGATTTCGGGAGAAAATAGTTTACCCCGATTGTGACCAAGCGGCCAAATGTTCAGAGCCACAATCGTATTCCAATTTGTTCGGACCTTATACAGTAGTAGTACGCTTTGTGGGGTTGGCTTAAACAGTCCAAATCCCTATTTGGGGGGGCATCAACTGTAGGTGCTTGTTTTTGCAGTTGATCCCTAGAAGTAGAGATTGGAATGGAGCACTTGGAATTTTGGCCAGATCGAAAAGTGCCGGCACTGATGCCCTTCCCACAGAATTGGCTTCCTTGCTCGGGCCTTGCAGCGAAGCGCAGGAGTTTTCGACTGTCGACACATTCCCACACACACACACACTTTGGCCATGCAGTTTTAGGTACAAAGTCCGATTGGGGATAGCGTTTGCAGGATCGAATGGGCATACGATCTTGGCCTTCAGGCCGTCCTAGGTGCCATGGTACACAGGCTCCACGAAGGCCTCCTGATTGAACTCGACATGTCATGGCAATGGGTCTGCGGGCCAATGGTATCCCAAGCAAACCCAGGTAACATCCCCAACAGCCCAAGCAGAGACCCCATATTTTCGTGTCGCTCAGCCAGGCTGCGAAGCAAGCGGAGCAAGCAGCCCCGGGCTCGCAACCTGGCCTGTGATATGCGAATAGAGTTGGACATGTTGTGTTGCCTCTTGGGCGACGGGGGCTGCAGGTAACGTGCTCAGTGTGCCCGACGGTCACAGTGAGGCACTCGCTGGCGCTTTGACAGTAGGCTAGGCTAAGCAGTTCGCTGACAGGGCCATCCCGAGTCGGTGACCAGGACACATGGCATGGCCAAGCCGCACTTTGTGGTTCAGCTCTTGTGGAGGTTTTCTGGCGAACTGCCCAACTGGCTTGGCGGGCCCGTTGCTAAGCAGACAGGCCTGCCGGCCACCAATCCACGCCCCTGAATTCAGAAGTCCAACGGCAAAGGAGGGGGCAGGGAAACGTGCCCAATGTGTCCTCGTGCCAACCAGATTCCAATTCGCTCCTTGCCGGGCGTGAAGTTGCGAGCCGCCAAAGCGTGCAGTACCGCAGCATGCCCGGATCGGCTTCAGTTCGCAAGGCTCCTGCCTGCCCAGTCGCAGACGAGACCCAGCCAGCGCGAAGTCAGCCGAAAAAGCGCCTTGCACTGTATGAATCTCAATGGGGAATGCAGCAATTCTCTCAAAAATGGTTGGACACGAGTCCCCATGTAATTGATGTCCGCACGAGGGTCTCCAATGAACATCATACCCACTCGGGGGGCAGGATGGCGTCGGCTAGAGGCCTTGCAGGCTGTGGGGCTATGAAGAGGCGACAATGTAGTGTTTGATTCTCCAGCCGGATCGGCCTGTTGAACGCCCCCTGCCGCAAAACCGCATTTCGATTTCAGGTTTCTACATGGCCTTTTAGAGTGGGCAGCAAAAAAGGTGTGAGGTGGTTGGAATTTCACGACCTGTTCGGTGTCACTCTGTTCGGTATCACAAATGATAATCAGAAAACAATTTGTAAAAGGAGGGCTTCAATACATGTCCACATGTCAATATGTGTCACACAACTGAAATGACACATGTTCTTCTACAGCGTGCAGTGGAGCCGTCCCTTTGCTGTTGCAGACTTGCCCCCCTCTAGCGGCCTTGTGAGTAGAAAGGATGGCCATCAAGGACCTACCTCCGGAAGGTCCTCAGAACCGAAGAACCCCCTCGCTCAAAGGTTCCTTCCAAACCTTTCGGATTTGAGGGCCTTACTAGACGTGGAAAACCGGGCTCCAACCAACATGTTGCGATTTGTAGCATCCAACTCCCATCCATTCAAACCCAAGATCACCCACAAGAAGTCCTCAGTCCTCTGCTCGATGCCAGGCTCGGCGGGGAGAAGGCGCCTCAGGCCCGGTAGGTCTCAGTGAAAAGATGGCTAGCTCGTAACTATTGGAGGGACACGGGGACGCACTCATTTCGCCGTGGTCATATTCTGACCATGGGCTCAAATGCCATAACATGTCAGCGTTGTTCGGCGGCGTTGGGATCGACGGCCTGCTGTCAACGGAGCGTCAGGTGCAGAGAGTCCGCACGCTTTTCATGCGACAGCTGGTCGCATCCTCGGATTGCATGGGCAGGTTTCGGAGAAAGCATCGGCAGGCCACTCGAATGAACGTGCTTTTAGCAGTATCCTGGTTTGTCACGTTGCCAGATCCGGCCATGTTGCCTTGCCCATACATTTGTGATTTTTGAGTGGGCGGACATGACTCTCAGTTTTACTATCAGCTTCGGGGGAGCCGCCATCAATGAGCAGCCCTCACCGAAGCCCGGCTCAGTTGTTCATCGCCTTTCACAAGGGGCCGTGACCCGTCGCCTCGGTGGAAGATCCTTCTGGCACTTGGCTGGGCGCATCTTCCCCAGCGTCACTCACGGGATGAATTGCTGGGCCTCCAGCACAGATCCCATCAGGGTTGGACAAAGCACCGGTGAGGCAACTGATGGGTTCATCAAGTCAACTCTAGTGACTTACCCATACTTCAGCTGCCTAGTGGAACCACCTTGCCAGACCTGTTAAATTGAACCTCGCAAAGAGACTTGTTTTCTACGCTTGCCTGCAAAGGGCTCATAAACAAGGGCCCTCATAAACACGGGCCACTATTTTTACTGTTTCTGGGGGTTATCAAAGCCAGATGTTTCCCTTTCACCTTCCACTTCGGGGCTGTCTGTGATGGTAAAATCATGGGGCCAGAGACAGCTCCCCAAGTCTTCCTATCGCAGACGTTCGAGCGGCGGCTTATCCCGAGACCTCGAGCTGGCGGATCGGCGCCGAGGCGCTGCCGCTGCTGGGCATGGAACGGTTGCGGGAGGCTCACAGCACCTTCGAGGCGCTGAGACGTCGACACCCCCGTTGCGGTGGGGTGTGTCTCAAAGGGCAGTTTCAAACAGGGTCTCTCAACGCAGGGACCCCGAAACCAGCAAGATTGGCGTAAACCCACCGTTTTCGGGGTCTCCTATTTTTACACATGCCCCCAGAGATTCCGAACATGATGTTGCCCTCAAGCGTTGATCCGCAGCAGGGGTTTCTCAAAATTGCTTTAGGGGCGGGGAAGCCCTGCAAAGCCCCGTTTCAAGGGTAACTTCTAAAATGGGCCCGGAGCCCATGAAGTGCTCGGAAGTATCCTGCACACAAATGGCGTCTTACTCTGCGACCCGGAATGGCACAAGTGGTTCAAGTGCCTGCATGCAGAATTAACACTGAGTGAATCATGTATTTCTCGTCACCACCCCTTTGAAAGAGGTTCTTTGAAAACTGCAGGCACAGGCAGGAGAAATAGATGGAGTGGCACATGTCAAGGATCTCTCCCTCTCTCTCTGTCATGGGGCAAGTGCATTGCAGCTTGCGGGCAAATGATGCATCCGACCTTATGATTTTTGCAGGGCAGCTTGGAGCCCGCACTGCAGAGCCGACACCCCAGCGCGCTTGGTTCAGCTTTGACACAAGTGGCTGTTGACAGCGGGGGTGCCAGGGCCCCGCTTGGATTGCGGCACCCGCCAAGACACAGGAACTTTAACCATTGGTTCAAATTCAGGCCGGGCTTTCTTGAGCCGATATGAGGCATGAGGTTCTAGCAATACTTGCTCGGCTGCACGTCAGCCAGCCAGATTTAACATGTACTGACAGAGCCGGTGGAGCCGTCTCCGTTTCAGTCCTCTGTGAAGTTTTTGTGTTGCCTGCGCCCGACAGCCTGTGCCGATCAGGCCAGGCTACTGTTGTAGACATCCTGCCCGATCATTGTTGTCCGCGACTTTTCTTTGCGCGTCTTGCTTACAGGCCTTGAGTACCAGAGTTCTTCTTGATCTCATTTTGCAAGAGAGCTGGTGTGTTCAAGTTCCAAAGCATTCCTCAAGTAGTCCTTCTGCCAGAAGGTAGTGGTTTCCCTTTGCCGCGGGTTGCAGATTGGGAAAATCGGAGTCCGGGACCCAATTTCGAACAACCCCAGTTTCAGCTTGTTGGAAGCCCACAAGGCCACCATTCTTAGGATCCCCATTTGCAAGAACCCAGGGGTCAAGGTCCCCATGGCTCCAATTGGTTTGTCAGTTTCTTGAGATTGAGGGGAAACACGGAACATCTCTTGCAGGGTGCTTGAAAGGATGCATTTGGGCCAGTCAGACAATCTCTGAAATTAGCTGACTTAGGACAAATCCTCGTGAAGCATCCCTGTCAATCGCCGTGCTTTCTGGCGCTGTGATGCCAATGGCGATGAGAAGGTTCCCTGAGAAGAGCCATCACCTGTGCTCATTACTTTCTTCCCTGAAGCGTTTTCCTGGCGCAGATTCCGACTTGCCCCCAAGACCATTCTTGAAGGTTCATCCCCCCCCCCCCTGTGGATTCCTCCCCAGGCTCATCCTCAACATCTAAAACGCAACCAGGTAATCCCCAAAATGCCCAGGTTTCCACACGGAGCAAGGAACCGGTTGCCAACATCTCGGGTGCCGAGGCCGCACAGCCGCCGCGAAGGCGGCAGCGTTGGCTGCCCCTGCGGCGGAGCTGTGGCGGAGCAGGGTGCGGGCTCAAGCCAGGGGAATGCGGGGCGGATGGCAAGTGGGCGTGGCTTCTTTTGAGGGTTTAACGGGAAGTGAGAGGGACATCCATCTTCTTTTCCATTTTTTTTTTGGGGGGGTTGCCTAGTTTAAGACACACCCAAATGGGTGTGTCATTTGTTGCCAGATATCCGGGTTGGTGGACGGAAAATCTAATGATTCCCTTTGAAAGGAGGCTGCTTGAAGTGTGGTTCAGACATGTTGAACCGGCTTGGCCCAACCTTGTGGTGACGGTCCTGAAACGCGGGTTCCATATGAGAGCTTCGTGAGCGGCTTCGGTTGCAAGTGACAGGCTGTCGCTTGAGGGTGTAAATGCCCTTTTGGCTTTTCTTAACAAGGGCCTTGTCTTTGAGCCCCAGCCTGTAATTGTTTGCCCAACTTCACGGAGGTCACGTGTAAACAAAGCCCGGCTGGGGGTTGGAAACCCTGAAAGTCCATTGATTCAACGCCTGTCCCTGATTTGATTGGACAAACCTCCACAGGCCAACAGGGCCCGTTTTGTTTTCCGAGCCCAGCGCCGCGTTTTGTTTTTCGAATCGAGGCACCACTGGAGGAGAAGCTCCAGGAGGCCAGTCGTCCAGCCGGCACCCCGAAGCGGCCAACAGCGGACTGCAGCGAATGGTTTTGCGCGGTGCGTGGAGAGAAGACTTAGCAGACTTAGCCTGCCTCTTTCATTCCCCTAGCAACAAGTCGACAGTCGACTCGAACGACTCGAACCGCTAAACCGCTAAAGAAGCCTCATGCAGGATGTGTGTCCCTTGTGCCTATGGTCTGGAAGCAGACTTCGATATGAATTGCAGAAGTCAGGCAATGGCGCGGCTGGCAGGTTTTCACAGGCTCAATTCTGACAGAGAAATCATCACCGCCCCGGTTGATTAACTTGCGGGGAGGTCCCGATCGAGTGAGGGGAAACACGGCCCCAGTCAATCCGCAAATTTAATTCATCCGGGGGCACCCGCAAAACCACCCACAAAAGTAATTCCGAGAAGCTCCACCAAGGCCATGGTCATGGTCTCCGTGGGCACCGAGCCCGAAAAGGCGCACGTGTTGTTTCTTGCGCCTGGGTCTTTGAGGGACTGGAGCGGGCCTTTTTGGCAAGATACCTCTGACCCGCCAGCTACGTTGAGATTGCACGCAAAGTAGCGCATGCAACTTGTTCCTGCAGTGCTCTTTGCGCTAGCTGCAGCACCCTTGGCAAACCTTCACAGCCTAAGGGTCTGTATCTCGTGGTGCTTTCTTGTGTTTTTATTGGTTGGCCCCCTTGCGATTTAGAATGCGGGTGGAAGGACCTTTTGCGCTCTGCGTGAGAGCTGGCCACCCTTGAGCAAGACGGCCTATTCTGCTACATGTCTGGTCTGCATCAGTTGGTCCACCTTCGGCCCTCGAGCAACCCCAAAAGAGGAACTGGGATGAACTCTGGACCGTGAGTTATCTTCTGATTTCACGAGTCATGCACCAACGGTGTCACATAGTATAAATGATACATATACATATATATATATATATATACAGATGGGTATGCATGCGCACATGCGCACACACACATACATACATACATACATACATACATACATACATACATACAGACAGACAGACAGACAGACAGACAGACAGACAGACAGACAGACAGACAGACAGACAGACAGACAGACAGACAGACAGACAGACAGACAGACAGACAGACAGACAGACAGACAGACAGACAGACAGACAGACAGACAGACAGACAGACAGACAGACAGAGACAGACAGACAGACAGACAGACAGACAGACAGACAGACAGACAGACAGACAGACAGACAGACATACATACATACATACATACATAAACACATAAATACATGAATACATAAATACATAAACACATAAATGCATACATACATACATACATACATACATACATACATACATACATACATACATACATACATACATACATACGGTGTAATATCAAACATGTCGGCAATGATTGACGTGGCTTCACTGAAGCCGCTTCAGGGCCTTTTCTCAAATTCATTGTTCGCACCGTGCCAAAACTCAGCGCTTGCCTTCTCATTTGTTCTCATGAATCTGAAATCAAACAAGTTGAGCGATGTGTTTCGATGGTTTTCGGATGTGTGGTTTATATCCTTAGCCGTTTTGCAAATTCATTGGAGATATTCTCTGGTTGCTTGAGCATGTTTTTCTCCGAAGCCAGGCGGCGCCTGCGGACATCGTGGCTGCCGGGGCCTCGCGGTCCATCAAATATTTGGGAGTGCTTCATGGGATTCGGACCCCGTTCTGTATTCACAAAGGACACTGCCTTTGACAGTTGTTGAAAGAAACCTCTGAAGAGGAAACGGTCCATGCAGGACATGGACCCTTTGCGGAACCTTCATCGGGGCCGTTAAACAAGAATCACACAGATGCCGGCTGATTTAGAGGATGCAAATCCTGGTGAAGCGTTCTCGTACCTACTGTAAGAAAGCTCCTTTTGCAGGGATTTTTGTGCTGGGCTCCTCGAAGTTTACATGTTGCACATTTTGACGGGTGCTCATTTGACCACTTTTGGTGGTTGGTGCCCTTGAGACCACCAAAAAAAGGTCCTACTAAGAAGGAGCTAAGTAGAAGGTTGCAAGGCCGCTAGCAGCGGCATTGTGATCATCCACAGCCATTGTCAGTCAGCATTCAGAAATGCTGCAGCCAATGGCCAGCATGCGTCAACCGTCCCCCCCCCCCCCCACCTTTTCGCAAAGTTCGATCACGGGCCTTCCAACCCCACGAACCCCACCAGTATTGGCTCCGCTCCGGCGAACGCGAACCGCCTCCTTTTCGTCGTTCTGATTTGAGGAGCTGCTCGCCGTAGAGGAAGCCTCCGGCGACAAGGTTCAGCACTGTCTGATCTCGGGTCGGTTCTTTTCTTTGCGGAAATCACGGGGAAACGGGTTCCCCAGCCTGAAAAGACCAGCAATGCGCAGCTCGATTTTGTTTCGGGGCACCGAGGTTCTTGGAGTCCTGCTTGCGCCGGTTGTTGCCGCCGGCCGCAAGCTGTTGGCGCGACGGGGGGCGTGACGGGCCCTTTGGACCAAGCTGCAAAAAGGCCATTGGGGCACTCAGCAAAACAAGTTGGCCTCACCCAACATCCATGGCAAATGGCTGATTGGTTGCCTCCAGCACAGCAAGGGATTTGGGAATGAGCACATTAAGCACGGGCATGTTTTGCCCATTCAGTTTCCCACAGAAAGCAAGGAAGCTCACGAAAATCCCCATCGGGAACTGACAATTCTGACCGCGTCGGTGATGTAGCTGCAATGGCTACAAGTCACAAGCTCAGCTCGTCTCGCACATTTCACTTCCTCAGTGGACGTTATTAACACTTTTGGGACCATTTTGGTGGAAGGTCCAGATTTTGGTTGCCAATCCACTCAGGACGTGAGAGATCATTTCATGGGTAGGCCTGGCATGTTGCGGTTGGATTCATCAACCCTGTTCCTATACGGGCCTTGTTTTCCCAGCCTACATGCCTGTTCTTGCACTGCCAATTTGCTTGTTGGCTTTATTTTTTTGCCCCACCAACAAAACGGCGGGGGGGGGGGGGGAGGGGGGGACAGGGGGTCGAAAAAGCAGGGTCTTCCCAGGATCACCACGCAGCAAATCGGTGCTGTAGGCCCAGAGGTACAAGCCTGGTGCCCGTCGAGCCCCGCCGACCTTCGGGCCAACACAACTTAGCTTCTAGGAAGTGAACACGGGTTTGGGCAACCTGGGAGCCCCAAAAGAAACGAGGGATGGTGGAACAGGGTGATTCCTACTCGTTGCCTATCGAACGAACAATCAAGGGCACTTTAAGCTGTGGGTTTGGAAGCTACGCATGAGCAGCAAAGCCATAAAGGCATGGTTGGATGAACGTGCTCTAGAAGTGGTATATAACCTCCCTACCTGAAAAAAAAAGAGCACGCAACAACTCCTGGGCTCATTGCCTACCCATCGGACCATCAAGAGATTCCACCAACATGTCTTTTTCCCCAACAAAAACGAACAACCACCATGAACACACAACATGGAACAGCAACACATGCCAGCCTCACCTACCTCGAGACGCGCGAAGGTGAGCTGCCGCTCTTGGCGGCGCTGAAGAAGCGCCAGGCCTTGAAGCCCGAGGTGCGGTGAGAGAATCCGTTTGGTGCAACAGGCCCCACCCAGGAAGAAGCCCTAGGGCGCTCAGTGGAAAGCGGAAAGCTCCCCCACTAAAAAGGGGACATCCCTCTTTTGGTTGGGCAGGGCTTGTTCATCCGCTCCTTTTTTTCTCCCCCCGTATCTCCATATGGAAGAAGGTTTTCTGGCTAAGCGACTCTTGGGAGCAGCCATTCGACGTTTTAGCCAAGCCTCAAATTTACCCCAACGGCTTCAAGAGGTTCCCGCATGCGCTTTGTGGACCCGGACTCCGGGGCCCGGATCAACGGTTCCCTTCGGTCGAACTTGGCGAGGTTGACCATTCCTACCAAGCCCGAGCAGGGGGGTTGACCGTGGACCCGTGCGGCTTTCCAACCAGCAGATCATTTTCTGCTGGTTGCCCAAAAGCCAAACAAAAACAAATGTAGGGTGACATGGAGGTCAAGAACTGGCTCTTGAAGGGATACCTTCGGGCAACCCAAATACCATCTGAGGGTCACTACGGTACCAACGGACTAAGACAGCCCCAATATGTACCTTCGGTGAGAACACTGGCGCCGTCCCGTTGCTTTGCCAAAACGCCAAGGCCAAACTCCGACCTTATCCAGACGTGGGCAGGCCATTTGGCCTAGACTTTTAGACCATGGTTGGTTGGCCTGTTGTGTGCAAACATGTGAATACTTGAATGCCTGGCAATGTTAATGGTGCTCTACTGTTGGGCACTGGGGGGGGGCAGCCCAAACTTTTGGGGAAGCAAGTTGTGCTCAGGTGCCGCTTAATTGGTGGATTGTGATTTGGCCGGTTTTAGCCTCGCTTGCTTCCGGTGGCAAACGGGCAGGTACCCTCCAACGTTCGAAATCACCAAACCAAATCACCAAAACAATCAGAGGTAAGGTGAATCATTGTTCCGGGGCCTTTAAAGCACGGGCTTTGTGCTTTGCAGCTTGGCAAGGCTCCTCGGGAAGAAAAGGTCAAGGGCAAGTCCGAAGACACCAGGCTGAAGGGCCGGGCCCTGCCGTCGACCGGGTTGTTTCCCTGTCGCATGGCAGAAAGAAGGTAATTTTGTGAATGCCACTCAAGGGATCAGTATGTTGGTGGGTTGGGCTGGCCTGATATTTCTTGAGAAGGGCTCATCTTCCAACAGCACGGCAATTCCTGCAACCAACAGACAGGTCCATGCCACAGCAACATGCCACAGCAACTGCACAACCCGCCACCGAAATGACACACAACCACTCATTATCATTCAAAGCCGCCGATGCCACTATCCCTGCCACCGCCACCAAGAAATGCCTTCTTTCAGAGCTACCAATCCAGAACCGAGATCATTGACCTGAGCAAAGCCAAACAATCACTTGGATAAGCATTTGCTTGGTGTGCTCGGTCTTGCACACTATCCTTCCACCAATCATTGAAGTGAACCATGTCGGGTTGTGGCAGGCCATCCCCTGAAAAGGCCCAGACGCCTTTCATGGGCAAAAGGGCCTCAAAATCCCCGACACGGCAGGCAGTTGGCGGGCAGGAAGCCGCCCAAGGAGAAAGCGAAGATGCTTGGCGCGATCAAGGTTTGGGAGCGCTCCTCTTGTGGAACCCCTGTCAGTGAGCTTCAGGCCTGGGCTGGTCTTACCCAGGTGCCGGGGAGCATTTCGCATTTTTTTCTTGGGATTTGGCTGCCCTTTCCCTTGTATATTAGGGTTGTGAAGTGCACCTTTCCTGCCTTTCCTGCCCAAAGACGGTGGTGGAGGAGCGGGGGCGGTTTGCTCAGACCTGCGCTTGCGGCCTAAAGGCAAGTTGTCGGATCCCGTGGCGGCCTCTTGAAGATTGCGTCCCTGGGCATCTCTTGAGGCAACTTCATGGGCTTCTGATTGGCCGAAGGCAGAGCTGGCAGACGAAGCTGGTCGAGAACACAGTCCAAGCAGATCCGTCAGCAATTTTGGCCCAAGCTGCGTAGCGCAACGAAGCCAGGCCCAAACATCCAGTCTTGACATGGTGCGCAAGACCGCAAAGACCGTGAGCAAGGGCCACTTTGCTGAGATGAGTGCGGACAGGCCCTGGGGCCTTAGACGGTTAGTTGCCTGTAACAATCACCTTCTGTACTGGACCAGGTTCATTGTTGGGATGTAGGGTGGTTCGTTGGGTTCCACGTAAATCTGCAGATCAAGTGGTTGCTTGCTGGGTGTAAGGACACAGGCAGACTGTTTGTTTTGCGGGTGGCCGAGCCTCCTGCAACATCATTTTGACCATATGGGGGGTTTCCCATGGTTTCCCCCAGCTGAAAGCTGTGGGTTTTGCCCAGGCCCTCGAGTTCAGAGCGTCTCAGGGTTCTTGGATTGGTGGTTTGGAGAGGGACTGTCCTCCCATTCGCTTGCTCAACAACCAGGTTCAAATCTGCAGATCACAACCCAAACCACAAGTTGCAGAGGAAAGGTGAACAAAGGGACAGAAGCGTTTTTGGGGTCCAAATCCCTCCAGGGGGCGGTGCGGTGCGAAAGCGGTTGAGCCTCAGCGAGTCGAGGCGCTTCCCCGGAGCTGTCCTCGGATTCCACGGAGTGGGCATCCGACTCCTCGGAGCAATCCCCCCAGGCACGGGAGATGGCGTGGCTTCGCGGCTGTTAGTTGGTCAGGCAGTCAGTTGGTTGGCTAGGTAGTTGGTTGGTTTATTGGTTTGCTTGTCTGGTTGTTTGTTTGTTTTTTGTCGGTCGGTCGGTCGGTCGGTCGGCCAGTGGGTCTGGTAGTCAGTTAGTCAGGCAATTTGTTGTTTGTGTTGATTTGCCTTTTCGTTCGGGATTGAGAGCCAGGCACCCAGACAGAGGCCAAACAACACGGGCAAGTGGACAGGGACTTGCTTCTTGCCAAAGGCTGTGTAGTTAGGCAAGTACTGCCTTTGTGCGTGTGTGCTTGTGTGCTTGCTTGCTTGCTTGCTTGCTTGCTTGCTTGCGTGCTTGCTCGCTTGTTCGCTTGTTCGCTTGTTTGGTTGTTTATTTGTTTGTTTGTGTGCTTGCTTGCTTGCTTGCTTGCTTGCTTGCTTGCTTGTTTGTTTGTTTGTTTGTTTGTTTGTTTGTTTGTTTGTTTGTTTGTTTGTTCGCTTGCTTGTTTGTTTGTTTGTTTGTTTGTTTGTTTGTTTGTTTGTTTGTTCGCTTGTTTGTTTGTTTGTTTGCTTGTTTGTTTGTTTGTTTGTTTGTTTGTGTGTTTGTGTGTGTGTGGGGTTGTTGTTGTTGTTGTTGTTGTTGTTGTTGTTGTTGTTGTTGTTGTTGTTGTTGTTGTTGTTGTTGTTGTTGTTGTTGTTGTTGTTGTTGTTGTTGTTGTTGTTGTTGTTGTTGTTGTTGTTGTTGTTGTTGTTGTTGTTGTTGTTGTTGTTGTTGTTGTTGTTGTTGTTGTTGTTGTTGTTGTTGTTGTTGTTGTTGTTGTTGTTGTTGTTGTTGTTGTTGTTGTTGTTGTTGTTGTTGTTGTTGTTATCGTCGTTGTTGTTGTTGTTGTTGTTGTTGTTGTTGTTGTTGTTGTTGTTGTTGTTGTTGTTGTTGTTGTTGTTGTTGTTGTTGTTGTTGTTGTTGTTGTTGTTGTTGTTGTTGTTGTTGTTGTTGTTGTTGTTGTTGTTGTTGTTGTTGTTGTTGTTGTTGTTGTTGTTGTTGTTGTTGTTGGTTGTTGTTGTTGTTGTTGTTGTTGTTGTTGTTGTTGTTGTTGTTGTTGTTGTTGTTGTTGTTGTTGTTGTTGTTGTT